CAACTTCAGCTCCAGGGTGATCTGATGCCCTCTTTTGGACACACATACACCTGCTAAACTGTCTTTTGGAGTAACAGTACCATTTTTTTTTTTTTTGCAGTCCCAGCAGCAATGAATGAGCTCCATAATCATGCTAGGGTTTGGTACTGTCAATGTTCCAGATCTTGGTTATCTCAGTGTATGTAGTGGTATCTAATTATTGTTTAATTTGCATCTTCCTTGCCACATATAATATAGGGCATCTTTTCATTTATATGAAAAGTGTGACAGTATGCAGGTAGTGCATGCCTGGATCCCATCATCTAGAAAGTAAGAAGTGCTGGCAGAAAGAGAAATTCAAGGTCATCCTTGGCTACACAATGAGTTTCAAACCATCTTGAGCCACATGAGACCCTGTCTTTAAAAAAATTAAAAAAAAAAAAAAAGAGCTGGGCAGTGGCGAAAGCCTTTAATCCCAGCACTTGGGAGGCAGAGGCAGGCCGATCTGTATGAGTGTGAGGCCAGCCTGGTCTACAGAACGAGTTCCAGGACAGCCAGGGCTACAAAGATAAACCCTATCTCGAAAAACAAAACGAGAGAGAGAGAGAGAGAGAGAGAGAACATGAGGCCTTGTGGAAGGTAATCATGCCTTGTCTTTATGAAGTACTCAGCCTCGGTATGATGTGTTATAGCAACAGAAAACAGACTGAGACCCATGAGAGTAAAGCCTGTGTTACAGCAACCACCTGGTATCAGTGATAGACTTAGTGTAGTAACCCCGGAACAATGGCATGGCTTCACTCTTGCATCTGCTCCTGATGCCCGTCATTGGCCAATCCATCCCCTGATGCAAGAGAGAACTGGAAAGATGCAAAACAGAGATAGGGGAGGGGGGATCTTACTGCGTTCAATTTCACATTTACTTTAAAAACTGGAGTATCTTATCTCACTTCAGAAGATGCTTGAAGTCAGTGACTTCACGTTTTGTATAGCCAGCAATGTTGTAGAGGAACCACAGTCTTCTATCTTTTTCCTCTAGTTTCCTGATCATAAAAATGCCACTGTGGCCGGGCGGTGGTGGCGCACGCCTTTAATCCCAGCACTTGGGAAGCAGAGGCAGGTGGATCTCTGTGTGTTCAACACCAGCCTGGTCTACAAGAGCGAGTGCCAGGACAGCCTCCAAAGCCACAGAGAAACCCTGTCTCGAAAAACCAAAAAACAAAAAAAATGCCACTGTGGCCAGGCAGTGGTGGCACACGCCTTTAATCCCAATACTCAAGAAGTAGAGGCAGGCAGATCTCTGTGAGTTTCAGGACAGTCTGGTCTACAGAGTGAGTGCCAGGATAGACTCCAAAGCTACACAGAGAAACCCTGTCTCACAACAACAACAACAAACAACAACATCAAAACCAGAACAAACAAAAATCCCCTGCCTCATCCATGTCCAATGCTGATCTCTTGAACCCTGCCCTTAGGAAGAGTTAGCCCAATTGTGCTTGAACAAAAAAGCTTGCTTTAATTAATTTGGCCTTGATAATTTGGGTCTGTGGTCTTTCTCACATATGTGAGATTAACAACTGTAGCTCCAGGTACCACCCCAAGGCTCAATAATGGTTATCAAGAGGAGGGATCTTCCTAGGGATCTTTTTCTGGGAAATAGGAAACTTCTTGGACACCTCCATGTGAGATTTGTCCTCATTGGTCAGAACCCTCCAACAGGACAGTGTGTCTAATCAAGACTTGCCCGGTCAGGGGCTAGTATCAGCTCAGGGTGGGCACATAGATGTGTACACCAAGGTTTTCCTTAGCAAAAGTGAGGGGTGTGCTGTGAAGATTTTAATGTTGTTAGCAGTAGAGAGACTGAGTTTATTTAGAGACCTGTGTAAGGATATGTACACATATGTCCCCATTACCAGAGAGATTGGTAAAATGGAAGCCAACTACTTGGGTGCTTTACCCAAGTAATATTACTTATTATAATATTACTTATTACTTATTATACTTCCTTTTCTTCTTTCTTTCTCCTTTTTAAAATGCAGGTATCTGTGTATGACATTGAACTTCACATCCTCCTGTCTCAGCATTCTAAGTGCTGGGACTAGGGAGAGCATGCCCCATCACACCTAGCTATGCATTCAACAGGACTGGACCTGAGGTACACAACTGGCTTTAGAGGGGGTCAGGACAGGGGTCCCCCACGTCAGACCCTTCACTAGGCAATACACAGGCACTCCAATTAGTCTGGGTTTGCAGGATTACCGTTGAGTGCTCCCTCACCCCCCATGGAAGACAGCAAAGTGCTTACTGTAATGGGGTACTATAAGGACTTGTTTAAAGGGTGGGAAGCCTTTTAGGTTTTAAGACCAAGGTAATTATTTAATGGTGTTAGCTTGGGTTAGCTGTAATAGTGGTTTTGTATTTGAAGCATATTTTTATCATTTCCTGCCAGCAAAGGCCAGACATAGACAAGAAGGTATGCATTAGTGAAATGGCAGTGAGCTCAGGTCCCTTGAGAACAGCTGCTTCTCCAGAACCGAGTGTGTCTGGTTCGTCGATAAATTGTGTATACCCAGTGAGTGGGGGACAAGCATAATTGTAATTTATTTTAGCAGCCTCATGGCCCTTAAGGACACAGAAGAAAGGAAGATTAAGAAATCTCTTTTGAGGCCCTTTAATGAGGAGGAGGCCAACAGAAGGCCACTAACATATTAGATAAGAACACAGTTTCCAGGAAAGTTATCTAAATCATTTTTAAGAAGTAGGGAGTACTGGAGCTCTGGCCGATTTGCAGATTAAATGTGCACATCTGAGTTCATTCTTTCCAAGCCCTGTCTTGCTATAGGTAAACAATGTTTTAACTGCAACAAACCTATATGGATAAGAAGAATAGAATGGAAAATGGCAGTAACGGTGTGGAAGCTCAAAAACAGAAGAAAATAGAGACTGTTGGCAGTCAAGAAATGACATTTCTGGGGCCTCAGGCAGGGTAAGGGGGAGCTATGTCATGCAATTGCTGGGCTGGTAAATTCATTATCTGTAAAGTGACCTGTGGTACAGCAGATCACAAAAGAATAAGTATTCTGAAAGAATAAGTATTCTAAGTTGTGTGTGTGTGTGTGTGTGTGTGTGTGTGTGTGTGTGTGTGTGTGTGTCTATCAGCATGTGCCATATTAGTTTATGCCACAGTGTTGGTGCCCACAGAAGCCAGAAAGAGTGTTGATCCCCTGGAGCTAGAGTTACAGTTGGTCCTGGTCCTAGCTGCCTGGCATGGTGCTGGGAATAAAATTGGGGTCTTCTGGGAGAGCAGCCAGCATTCAGTCTTTAAGCCATCTCTACATCCAGTGTTCTGATTTAAAGGCCACTGGGAGTCTGAGGATGTAATTCAATCAGCAGAGTGCTTGACTAGTGTGCATGTGGCCCTGGGTTAAAACCCCAGTGTTGCATAAACTAAGCTGGCAAAAGTCTGTTATCCCAGCACTTAGGAGGTAGAGGCTGGAGGAATGGAAGTTCCTCAGCTACATAGTGAATTCCAGATCAGCCTGGGGTAGACAGACGACATCTTGTCTGTAAGTAAGCAAGCAAATAAATAAATGCTATCAGGAAGGAAGACCCAGTGTGGCTAGTAAAATCTAAGATGGTTTGCAGTAAAATGCTTCTTGCATGAGAGAAAAGCCATCTTTGGTTCTTTTCTGGTTTTCAACTGCTTAGACAAAGCAGCCTGTCCATGTTATGACCTGAATGTTTATGTTGAAGCCCCCACCCACAGCATAATGGCATTTGCAGGAGGGTTTGAGGGACAATTAAGTCCTGAGGGAGCATTCAGGCTATTAGAGTCATAAGAACACACACACACACACACACACACACACACACACACACACAAATCCAGATATGGTAGTCTACTACTATAGTTCCTGTACCTGGAACATGAACACAGGAGGATCAGTTCAAGGTCACTTTCAGCTACATATAGAGTTTGAAGGTAGCTGGGATGCATGAGACATTGTCTCATAAAACAAATTTTTTTTTAAGTTGTGCATGATCTCACATGCCTTTAATCCTAACACTTCAGAGGCAGGCAAATTTCTGTCAGTTCGAGGCCAGACTGACCTACATAGCAAGTTCCAGGCCAGCTAAAGCTACATAGTAAGACCTTGTCTCCAAAAATAAAAATTTATATGTATATATTATGTATGTATGTATCTAAATCTCCATTTTGGACTAGGGGCTTGGGACTTGCCTTGCAGACTCTGTAAACAGACCAGACTAAAAATCAAAATGGAGCCAGGCGTTGGTGGAGCACACCTTTAATCCCAGCACTCGGGAGGCAGAGGCATTCGGATCTCTGTGAGTTCGAGGCCAGCCTGGTCTCCAGAGTAAATGCCAGGATAGGCTCCAAAGCTACACAGAGAAACCCTGTCTCGAAAAACAAAAACAAAACAAAAAACAAAAAGAAAAACAAAAAACAGATAGTTCAGCAGGCATAGGCACTTGCTGCCAAACCAGATGACCTGAGTTTGATCCCTGGGTCCCACATGGTAGCAGAAGAGAATCAACTCTCTTAAGTTGTTCTCTGACCTGTATATGTTTAATGTGCTATGCACATGCTCCCACACATATATACATAGATAAATAAATGTAATGAGAATGTATCAAAACTGGGGGAAAAGTGAGGTTGGGAATTTAGCTCACTGATAGAGCATTTGTCTAATAACAGCAGGCTTTTGGTTCACTTTCCACTGCTGCCAAAACAAAACCAAATTTCTTCTTAGTTTATCACAAAGAAGGGCCTCTAGGGGAATATTGTAAGACTGGGTTTTGTTTCAAAACAACAGCTTTGTTTATGCAATATTTAAAAACTAGCAGAGGCTGGGTGTGGTGGCACACGCCTTTAATCCCAGCACTCAGGAGGCTGAGGCTAGGCAGATCTCTGTGAGTCTGAAGCCAGCCTAGTTTACTGTAAACAAGTTCCAGGCCAGCCAGGGATACATAGTGAGACATTGCTTAAAATAAGATTTTTGTTGCATCCACTGATAGACCTTGAACAGTTTGTGGTTGTTCTTTTGGTTTGCACTAGGATGCCAAAGAAAAGTGCTCCCTGTGCTTTCTGTCTTTGTGGCAGTCCAGATTGAGTTGGGGAGTACATGTATATAGCAGGAAAGTTGTGCTTTCAAGCTGGGGGTAGCTCTTAATGCACTCTCCTTGTTTTGCAGTAATAAATTGGATCTATCACCATAACCACCTGCTGCTTAACATCCATACAACACCAGGACTTAGGACAAATAGGACTTGAGCTTTTATTTTGACCATGGTTTATTTGGAGTGGAGACATTGCTTTCTTTTCTTTTAAGAAAAAAAACGTCATGTAGGTTGTCTAAAAATAAAGTGCATTTAAATATAAAAAATTGTATCAATTTGTCAGCATTATGCAGACATGTATAGATAGTAAGGTTACCATAATAAAACTAATTCGTTTAGTCATCACCTGTAGTTATCTCTTCTTGGTTTTTATAAAGCCTGATCCTTTAACAGAAAAACAATATACAGGACTTTCATATTGTATATTGGATTTCTAGATATTTTCTCTCTAGATGTCCTTTCTTCCACATCTTTCCACCAGTTTTCTTTAGATTTGAATATTGGAATTTTGTAGATTCTACATGTTAAGATCATGCAATAATTTTCTGTGTCTAGCTTGTTTCACTTAGCACAGTGTGTCTCATGCTTATCCATATTGTGACAAATGGCAAGACCTGGTTCTTTTTACAGGACTGATTCATATTCTGTTATGCACAAGCTAGAGTTTCTCTTTCTACTCTTTATCCCGACAGCTTATTTTCATATCTTGTCTATTGTGGATCATGAGACTCAAATGAACACGGGCAAGCAGATAGCTCTAGGAAGGTGTGATTTATTAATTTTGGGGAGTCAGAAGAGCTATTGCTGGGTCATGCAGTGGCTTAATTTTCAGTGTCTTTGAAATTCTTTGTACTATTTTCCATATGGCTGAAACAATTTGAATTTACTCCTTCTTATAAGAGGGTAAGTACAGAAGACAGGGTGGGAAGAGAAAGAAAAAGAAGAGCCCAGCATGGTGGGGAAATGCTATAATCCTAGCACTTGGGAAATGGAGGTAGGTGGATCAGGAGTTCAAGGTCATCTTCTGTTATACAATTAGTTGGAGGTTTGAGACCAGTCTGGACTATGTAAGGTCCTGTCTCAAAAAAAAAAAAAAAATTAGCCGGGCGGTGGTGGCGCACACCTTTAATTCCAGCACTTGGGAGGCAGAGGCAGGCAGATCTCTGTGAGTTCCAGGACAGACTCCAAAGCCACAGAGAAACCCTTTCTCGAAAAGCCAAAATAAATAAATAAATAAATAAACCTAGAAGATCGGGAACCACACAGGGCCACATCTGTTTTATTGGTGTTTTGCGTGTATGTGCCTATGTGTGGGTGTTGGGTCCTGGAGTTACAGACAGTTGTGAGGTGTCATGTGGGTGCTGGGAATTGAGCCCCAGTCCTTTGGAAGATCTGGAAGAGCAGTCAGTGCTCAGCGTCTCTCCAGCCCCAAAGGGCACATTCTTTGTGGCAAGTACCCGCTGGAACTGAAGCGTCACACTCAGGCACCGTGCATATCCCCCGAAGCATCTGAGGTTTGCGACCCCAGTTCCGCATTAGTGACAGTCAGCAGTGGAAGGCTGCCGGAATGTCTCACACGAGCAGAGGAGAAACACAGACACTTCGCCTGGCTTATGGGAACTGACAAGTCTCAGCTGCCTCCAAACACCAGAAAATTTCTATCATGTCAGAGGTTGGCTTTAGGTGCCTTCTTCCCCCACTAGAAAAAGCCAAACAAACACCACAAAAACAAAGCTTAGCGCCGGAAGCCGAGTAGTTTTGCCACAGTCACCTGACACACCGGCTGGATTCTGATTGGGCTTTGGGAGTATGTGCTCTGGTGATCCCGCCCGAGCAGCTCTGGGGGGCGGGGCCAAGTGCCAGAGGCCACGGTATTGGTTAGTCCCTTCAGGGCTCATCCAATCAGAACCATCCTTCTTGCGGCGCCAAGCGAGCGTAGCGGGACGCCGGAGGGACTCGTCGGCGCGCGGAGTTTGGATAATGGTTCTGCCTGGCGTGGCGTGAGCCTGAGTGAGGTGAGTTCCACGAACTCGGGGCTGCGGCGACTCCGCCGGGTAACCGGCCTTTCCCGGTCCGGAGCCCGAGGCCTCGGCCATTCGCCTAGTCGTCCGCCCCAGTTTTCCGTAGCCTTGCTTGTGGCGAGAAGCCCAGTGGAGAGGAGCCCCGGAGCCCCAGAAAAGGCCGTGTCAGGCGGCCGAGGCCTGAGTCTTGTTGTCCACACATTGTTTAAGGTCCAGGATCGTGGTTTGTTTTTTCTGTCATACGCGAGAAATGATCTCATCTCCTTCCCGGAGTTTGTGTCAGGCTGCTACGACCCCTCATCAGCAGCACATGCTTCCGAGACTCTAGAGGAGGTGAGATTGCATTGCCCTGGTTTTCGACATCTAGAATGCGAAGCTCAGGCCGCGTTTGCCGAAAGGGCATGTGGGTTTGGATGCAGAGATAAGATTTGAATAAGACCTGCCCAGCTCAGAAGCAAATTCTACTGCTGCAAGCTTTCCCACTAACCCCAACCTGCCCATAGGTCGCTTGATGGCTGAGATGAACCGGCCTCCCTGACAGCTCCTGGCACCATCCTCAGCTCCTGTGCCTACCACATTAAGGGGTACCCGGAAAGACTAATTGAGGGATCACAAGATGGAGCAGCGGAGAGGCATAAGCCTGGGGAGTAGAAAAGCAATTGGATCTGTAGTGGAACTTGAAAGGCTCTTCCTGCTTTAGCCACCCAGTGCTGAGATGACAAGTCTGAACACCACACCTCTTTTGAATCAACATGTTGTTAGCCTGGCTGTTATTCTGTCAGAGGGTCGATTTATTTATTTATTTATCTGTTTATTTATTTAGTTATTTATTTATTGAGTCAAATCACTCTCAATGCTAGTTCTCAAGATAGGGCATGGTTGCCATTTTTGTTTGTTTTGGCTCTTTAGTTAGTCCAGGTTGGTCTCAAACTTGTGTAGCAGAGGTGACATTGGATTCATTTTACTGCCTCAACCTCTCAAGTGCTGGAGTTACAGGCCCATGTCATCATCAACCCAGATATTTTAAATTATATATTTTGAAATGTATACCTTTAAAAGAGAGAAGCACAGAGTGTAACATCTTAAACTTGGTTAATGGGCATATAGGTGTCACTCTGTTTTCTGTACTTTTTCTTTTTGTCTTTTGTGGGGAGTGGGGATGCGAGTGTGTCATGCTCATGTCTGTGCAGCGCTGTGTGTATATATAAGCAGGCCAGACATATCTTCCTCAGTTGCTTTCCATCTTAGTGCTTAGGACGGCCTTTCACTGAATCCTAGACTTACACTTACCGATAAAACTAGCAAGCCCACAGCACTGGCATTATAGATGCACATCATCACAGGTAACTTTTTAGGTGAGTTTTGAGATCTGAAATCAGGTCCTCATGTTTGCACCACAGGCACTTTACTTACTGAGCCATTTCACAGGCCTCTTCTATCTTATTAGGTCCAAAGTAATTGCAAAATAATCCGAACAATTTAGTGTCAAAAGCCTGTGAGTGTTTTGGCTACCTGTGGAGTAAGATCAGCTCCCACCAGGAGTGGTGGTTCACACCCATAACTCCAGCACATTGAGTAAGACTGGAGAATGGAGAGTGAGCAGTGGTATGGAGACTACATCTCAAAAACAGAAACAAGCTGCCAGTGGCAGCACAGCCTGTAATCACACACATAGAAGGGGAGGCAGAAGGATCAAGAGATGAAAGTCTTCCCCAGGTACATAGTTTGAGGCCAGTCTGGACTATATGATCAGACTGTCACCAAAATCCCAAACAAACATTAAAATGCCCATTACATTTAGAAAGTCTTTCCCTCCTTTAGCTATTTTATTTTTTCTTTAAGACAGGGTTTTTCTGTGTACCCCTTGGCTGTCTGGGCCAGGTGGCATGCCTCTTCTTCCCAGGTGCTGGGATTAAGGTCATGTACCACTACCCCCACCCCTCATTAAATTTTTTTTCTTGATATTTTTTATTTGTGTGTGTTTGGGCTTATACCATGATATTGAGATCAGAAAACAACTTGCAGGAGTCAGTTCTCTACTACTCTACTACCATGTGTGTCCTGAGGATTCAACTCAGGTTATCAGGTTTGGCAAGTTTTTTTTTTTTTTTTTTTTTTTTTTTTTTTTTTTTGGTTTTTCTAGATTGTATTTCTCTGCATGACAGCCCTGACGGTATGCCACTTCCATCACTGCCTGGCTTGGTAAGCACTCTTACTGTCTGAGCCATCTCACTGGTCCTATTTTCATTTTTCACAAGTTCTTCCCACTAGTTAGAAAATAAGCTGTATAGATTTTCTAAAGTAATTGTGATTATAATGTACTCATAGTTGAGTGGTTCAGATATTTTTAATTGAGTATGCTATGTAGCAAACACTCTAATGATGAGCTATACCACCAGCCCTTGGTTTTTTGAGACAAGGTCTTGTTATATAGATCAGGCTGGCCATGAACTGGCTATCCTTGCCTCTGCCTCCTGAGTTCTGGGATTCTAGTTGTATGTCACCATGACCAGCTCTTTGTGTGTTTTATTAATGTCTGTTGTTAATTTTCTTATTTATTTATTAATTATGTGTATAGTGTTCTGCCTGCATGTCTGCTTACAGGCCAGAAGGGGGCATTAGATCTCATTGTAGACGGTTGTTAACCACCATGTGGTTGCTGGGAACTGAACTTAGGACCTCTGGAAGAGCACAGGTTGCTCTGAGCCATCTGTCCAGCTCCTGTTAATTTTCTTCTTTTTTTGCTTTGTGTGGTACACGCCAGACAAGTGTTTGACCACTGCTGAGCTACACTCTAGCAGTTGATAATGTTTCTAAGATGCATCTGGGCGACAGCAATTGTTTTGTGGTAATGTGCTTACTACACAAGCATGAAGACTGAGTTCAGCTCCCCAGAACTCATATTCAGAAGCCAGTTCCAGTGGCACAGACCTGCAGCCTCATCACAGAGATGAGGCAGAGCTTGTTGGCCAGCTACACTAGCCAATTGGTAGCTCCAGGTTCAGTGAAAAGACAGCTAATGTTGACTTGTGGCCTCATGAACTTACATGAATGCACTTGTGAATACAACACACACACTTTAAAATATGTCTTAAAAATCATACTATTCGGCTAGGTTGTAGCACAGGCCTTTGATCCCAGCACTTGGGAGGCAGAGGCAGTTGAATCTTTGTGAGTTTGAGGCTAGCCTGATCTACAGAGCAAGTTCCAGGACAGCCAGAGCTACACAAGAGAAACCCTGTCTTGAAAAACCAAACCAAACCAAAACAAAATTTTATTAGTAAATTAAAATGTTGTGTTATGTGATTATACCAGTTGTTTTATTTTTATTTTATTGTGATAAGAACACCTGAAATCTCTGAATGGATTTGTTTCACTTTTGGTTTTGATACAGTGCCTCACTGTATAGCCCAGGCTGGTCCTGACCTCTTGCATGCTGTCTCAAATTTCTTATGGTGAATAATACAATGTAGGCAGAGTGCTGTACTGTAGCTCTCCAGACATCCTCATCTTTCACTCCTAGAGCTAATTAAATTGAATTTGCTCATTTCCCTACACATGGCAATTTCACCCTACTGTAAATGGAATTGTGTAGTATTTGTCCCTCTGTAACTGGTGATTTCGCTTAGAATGTCTTAAAGTTCACCTGTGTTGTAGGATTACCTTCCTTTAAAAGGCCAAGTAATAATATATCATTGTGTGTGCCACTGTAAAGGAAATCTCATCTCTCTTCCCTCCATACCCATATACTACTTCATTTCTGTCTTGCTGTCTAGGTCAGACTGCCCTCATATTTCCAGTGACCCTACTGCCTCGGCATTTTTGCCCCCCTTTCTTTCTTCTGCTTCAGACTCTAACTACAATTAGGGGACCCCAGTATTATGTACAACTTCTGCCTAACCTGGCTGCAAATCAGATTTTCATGATAGGGTACGTGCATGCGTGCGTGTATGCATGCGTATGCATATGCATAAGTACAGTTGGGGAGGGACAGGGTCTCATGTAGCCACAGATAGCCTTAACCATTGCAAATACAGGGAGTATAGGTATACACCACCATTCCCAGCTCTTTTGTTGTTTTTAAAAGAAAAGACATTGAGTATACTATGAGGGTACAATGATTGAGGCAAACAGTAGAATTTCCTCCCAGCTCCTTTTTTCTTTTTTGAGAAAAGGTCCTACTCCATAGTCCAGGCTGACTAATAATTCATTGTCTATCAGCAATCTTCCTGCCTCAGCCTCCTAAGTGCTGGAATTAAAGGAATGTGCTGCCATGCCCAGCTTCCATGGTGCTTTTGTTATTTAATAAGTCTCTTGAAGGTTTTAAAGTTATTTTTATTATTATATCCTAGAGACTTATTTTGTCTTTTACACTTAGGTCATTTTGTTTTTTCTTTCATTAGGATAAATTTTATAGATTTTTAAAATTTAATTACTCTGTGTGTGTGTGTGTGTGTGTGTGTGTGTGTGTGTGTGTGTGTAAAACAAACTGTTTTTTGTGTGTGTGTGTGTGTGTGTGTGTGTGTGTGTGTGTGTGTGTGTACAGCAAACTGTATTATGTCCTAGGCTGTCCTTGAAATTATCGGGTAGAGGAGAGTAACTGAATTTTTTAATCTACGTGCCTCCACTTTCTAAGTCTTGGAGTTGCAGGTATGTATTCCATTCAATGGTGAGTTGAACACAGGGCTTTGTGCATGTTGGGCAAGCATTTTCTCCAAGGAGATATACCTGCTTCTGCCTGAAGACATTCTAGATCCCAGCAGCAGTTGTCACAATGACTGCTCTTACCTAGTGCTCAGCATTATAAGTGTGTATGGGTTTATGCTTGTTTTTTTGAGTCAGAGTTTCAACGTGTAGCGAAAGTTTTTAGGTCTTCCTGCATCTTGCAGAGCAGATCTCCTCACCTTCTGTTGTTTTTAGGGGTATGTTGGCTATTTTTTGCTACTTTACATCTCTTAAAATATTAGACCCAGGGCAGGGGGTGGAAACAAATGCTTGCTCCCAGACCTATGAAACCAGATGTAGAAATTCAGGTGTCTCTAATCACAGTGCAATGATGGGAAGTGGGAAGTGGAGTCAGGAGAGTCTCTAGAAACTTGTCAGCCAGCTAGCCTAGTTTACACAGTGGAGGAGAAACCTGTCTCTAGCAGGCCAATAATAGGCTAGGAGCCAAAAACTGAAGATTGTCCTCTGACCTCCGCACACATGCCACATTGGTGCATCCCAGTGTACATACACATACACATTATTAGACTTGACTACTATTAAGTTGCTCCAGAAAAAAAATGAAAATTTTGATTGGAATTTTATTGTCATAAATCAGTTTGGAAAGAAGTGGCATCTTGAGAATATCGTCTTCCTGTCATAAATGTGGCTCATTTGTTTTTTTTTTTTTTTTTTTTTTAATGTCTTAATAGTTTTCTTTCCCCCTCTGTGTATGTGTATCTGTGTGTGTGTGTGTGTGTGTACAGTTTGCTGGATATTGTTGGAGGTTACTTAAATATTGATGTTGAAAGACCCCCAGACCCCTAAAGGCCTCAGGATCCTGAGGAGCCCCCAAGACTCAGAAACCAGACCAAGAGCTGCAAAAGCAAGAGGGTTTATTGAACGAATGTGCATTCGGGTGTCAGCAATATTGGGAAAGCTGCACACCCCAGCAAGGGTTACAGGCTCCTTATATAGGAAAAAAACGCAGATCAGCATACAGGCAAGGGGCACAAAGTGATTGATTACAAAGTATGATCTCATGTTAGAGTGGTCACCCAGGTGTGACCTGCTTTTCTACAAAGGAAAAACCACAGAACGTACCCTGGAAGGTCCTTGATTGTCTGTTGGCCAGCCAGGTGTGACCCAAAGAGGGTTGTCTTGGCGATTGCCCCTGTCTAAACCATAGGATGTGCCCGGGGTTGGGGCCAGCTTCCTTGTAACGGGCCAAGGCCTGTGGGAAACTTCTCTCTGTGAACTAAAATCTTTTAAGACTTTTTCTCTCAGCAAACTAAAATATTTCAATGTCACTGTACGTAAGTTTTCTGTTTTTTATTTTCTAGTTGTCCATAAGTGACACATAAAAATAGAATGTTTTTGTGCTAATATTTTCTAGCAGTTCTTTGTAAATAGCTACTGTACCAAATTACTACAACTTGGTGGCTTCAAGTTATAATGCATGTCATATAAAAGTGATGATACTGGGCACTTTTACTGATTCTGGTCTGAAAACAAACCTAAGTTTATTGTAGATTTGGTTTATTTTAATGTATATTCCTTCTGTCAGGATTGGGACATTCCCTTCCATTCATTGTTTTGTGTTTGTTTGTTTTTACCATTCATTGTGAATAGCTTTTTTGTCACAAGTTTATTCTGTGTATCTTGAGGAAGTAGGTTAGAATATATAAGGAAGGGATAGTCTCATTATAGTAAAAACAAAAAGGATTAAAATGTGTAGGAATTTCAAAACCTAAATGGGGAAATCTTTAAGACACTGCTAAATGTTATAAAAGTTGGCTTAATCAAATGCAAAGTTCTCTTCCCAGGATAGACTAACTTAACATCCTAAAGCATTGGATCTGCATAAGTTGACACAAATTTAATGTAGTCTCAGTAAAGATAGCAGGTTTTTTTTTTTTTTTTTTTTTTTTTTCTGGTGCTAGACATGTTGATTCTAAAGTCCATGTAGAACAAACAAAATACAAAACCATGAAGTCAGGTATGGTGTCACATACCTGTAGCTCCAGCATCTAAATCTATAACTGTCAGAAGGAAGGAAGTAATAAAGATCAGAGACCAATAAAGCAATTAAGAAATAAACAAAATCAAGAGTTGGTTCTTTGAAAAGATGTAGAGGTCAGAGGACAACTTGAGGAAGTCATTCTTTCCTTCCTCCATGTGGGTTCTGAGAATTTAACTAAGGTCATTGGACTTGGTGACAGTACCTTTAATTACTGAGCCATAGGCCCCTGAAAAGATTTTTTTTTTTTTCCGTTTTTCGAGACAGGGTTTCTCTGTGTAGCTTTGGAGCCTATCCTGGCACTCGCTCTGGAGACCAGGCTGGCCTCGAACTCAGAGATCCGCCTGCCTCTGCCTCCCGAGTGCTGGGATTAAAGGCGTGCGCCACCAACGCCTGGCCCCTGAAAAGATTTTTAAGTTGACAGTCTTTTAGCTAGATGAACAAGAAAGTGCCTTACTTAAAAGTTACTTTTCTATTG